CTTTCCATTAATACAGCTTTTTACAACTAATGCTGAGCTGAGTGAGCTGGCAAATTTCCAAGAACAATAACTAATTAAGCATGCTTCATGGAGTAAGAAACTATGTCAGGAAGACATCACCTTGCAAAGGCCTGCTATATGGAAGAAAGGGATAAGGTAAGTATTTTCATTAGACTTAGTGCAGAATAGAAACCTTAATTTTTAGTTGTTGTTGTTGGTTTATTTTCTTATTCTTCTAATATCACAAGAATCTAGACTCTGGGAAAGTCTGGAAAGACGCATTTTTCCCCCTAAGCGCATCAAAAAACTTGAGAAAATATGTTCTCTTTTTTTAGGTATCTTCTGGACTAATAAAAACATGGTCTTCCACAAGAAAGTACTTCAATGGATGGGGGAAACATATTCATAGTCCTGGATAAATGTGCAAAAAAAGGTGTGGAACTCTTTAGGAAAAAAAATGCAAAATCTAAATAGAAGCTTCCAAGATACAAAAGCAAAAGCAGATGCCCAAGCTGTTACAGGACTATAAACGTGAACACCTTGCTGCCCATGCTAAGGATTACAGTCTAAGGAGCACTAGTTCATGCTCACAGACATGTGCAGATGAATTTACTGCATTCAGTTGCTTAAAATGGGACATAGCACAACCCTGGGATCTTCTTTTAGTGCAGACTCCAGACATTTAAATCATTCATCAGCCAAGGCCCAATAATGAGTGGATACACAGACAAAGGGCATAATGATCAGTGCTCATTTTGACCGGTTAAGTGTTTGAATTGGTCTGCCTCAGGGCTTAAATATGTTGAATACTTTCCCTGTATCTACTTATCCATCAAGAGCCAACATTGGCTCAACTCAAAGTATTTGTAACGAGACAGCATTGGTCCAAAGCTCAGCTCTGTCCCCAATACTATAACCCTGGGCTATGTAACTACCCCACTTCTGTTTCTTTCTTTTAATGTAGGGAAAATAGCTATAGCGTTTTATAGATTTATTTTGTAAACTAAATAAGATGGTTCAATATTAATCCATGGAAAGTTCTTAGCACAGTATACTTTGCACTCAATATTATTAACCATACTTATTATTTATCATGATTATCATTGTTTTCTTTAATATAACAATTATTAAATTGTTATTGAGTGCCTATTATGTGTCAGATACTATGTTTCAGACATCGAGGTTAAAAGGTATAGTATCTACCTTCAAGGAACTCACACTTCTGATAAACAACCATTATAAGAAGACAGATCTGACCAGGACATTACCCTGCTTTCAAGTCTTTGGCTTCCCAATGTCAAGAATCTGATCTTGTGACCCTTTGTGGAGAAGCATCTCCACCTCTCTGCTTCAGTCATACTAAACCCTTTTTCAGTGCCCTGAACATAGCATGCTGTGGCTCACCTCTAAGCCTTCACTCATTCTCTTCTCCAAGACAGTATCACAATGTTTACTGATTTCTGAATTCTGCCTCAAATGTAATACAAGACAGATTTTACTGTTTGTTGATATTAAAATTAAAATAGCTTTTTTCTAATTTGCAAGTTTTGTGGAATTTTTAATACTTTTCTCTTTTTTTATTTTTCCTTTTAGTTCTGCTACTTTGCAGTACTCAAGTCTTATACTCAGTCTGCCAACCGGATGAAACACTACAACTGCTCACTAAACCCAGAACATTTCTTTAACTTACTGTCATCTCCTCACCCTACTCTCTACTCTCTTGCTCTCATTATTAGCTCCTCTGGAAAAAAAATTTCATTTACTCAGATCTCATTTTAGCAATTTTATTTGGTTAGCCTCGCTTAACTACACAGGCTAGGTTGTCCCAACACACATGTGATTCACACCATTGCTTCTCAAATTTGAACGTCACATGAATACACTAAGTATCTTGCAAAAATGCGGATTATGATTCAGTAGATCTATTTTTTTTTTTTGCATTCCCAACAAGCTTCTAGGTGATGCTAACATTGTTTGTCTTCAATAGAAAATAACTCTGTGAATATCCCTTTTAGAGTAATTATAACATAGTACTATATTTTAGTTGTCCATGTATTTATTTATTTCCCCCTCTAGACTTCAAAATTTGCATTATCTGGTTTTATATCTATTGTGTTCATTGTTATATCTTCAGGATTTTGCTCAATACCAGATATATAGTGCATATACAATATTTTTAATGGTAAATGATTTAAGAACTTTAATGGAATCATGTGTGATGTACTGGAAACAGAAGGGACTGAAATAAACAGAAATTATAGTAGTGACCATAAGTTCATAGGGAGAGGTAAGGAAGAGCTACATTTCTCTATACATTAAAAAGTAAGTTGAGTAAATAAACACAGTAGGAAAACTGCTAATAATTCAACATAGCTGGATCGAGGAAAAAAGGTGAATGAGACTTTCATCAGACCATAAGGGCCAGTAGGTAATGCAGGGTCTTAATATTTTTTGAAAACAGTGTCTAAACAGAGTAATTTTTGTTCAAGTGTCTTAGTCCATTTTGTGTTGCTATAACAGAATACCACAGGATGGATAATTTCAAAAGAAAAGACATTTATTTAGCTCATGGTTCTGAAAGCTGAGAAGTTTAAGAGCATGGTACCAGCTCTGGTGGGAAATTTTGTGCTGTGTCTTAATGCAGCAGAAGGCATCACATGGCAAAAGGGCAAGAGCATCGATGCCAGCTTGAGTGTCTCTTCCTCTTTTTAAAAAGCCACCAGGCCTCAAGGGGGACCCACCTTGATGACCTCATCGAAACCTAATTACCTCTCAAAGGTCCCACCTTCAATCAATGTATGAATTTGGAAATTAAGTTTCCAACATATGAAATCTTGGGGACACACTCAAATCTTAACATGGACCAACCAGTCTTTGTTGCTGTTTTTATTGTTTGCTTGCTTTCCAGTTTATTTCTGCAATTTAGATACATTAACCCTAGATAGCTTGATTTGTCTCTGGTCTCTTGTTTTTGTATCATACTCTATTTCTTTTATAATTTACACTGTTTGCTCCTTGTAAGACTCTTAGCACTGCAACCAACTTTCTTTCCTGATCCAGCATGACTGTCCACCTGAGTTGCTATATGCATGAATTTTAAAGGTTGTATAACATCCCAGGACTAGATATAAATACTTTATATATTCTGCATCACTGAACATTTTTACTTATTTTTTTACTATCTTAATGCATCAATAAATGTTCCTATACATAAAATGTAGCCTGTGTCTCTGACAGTTTCCTTGCAATAAATTTTTAGGTATGGAATATTATGGACATTTTAAGACAAAAATATACTGGAAAATTCACTTGCACAAAGTTCATGCAAACATTATAAAACAATGCTTAGTCCACTGTAACACAGCAGCACAACACTGTGTGTTTTATGTCTTAAAAAACATTTGCTGGTTTAATAGGCAAGAATATTTTACTGTTTACTGTAGTGAAATGTTGACATTCAATAAATAAGATTTATTACTAGTCCCTACAGCACAGTTTTCCTGTGTCCAATTTTAAACTTCCTGTTTGGATTTCCAAGTTTCGGAAGCATAATATGAAGTCCAGGATGTTACAGACTGTGATGTTTCCTGGATTCAAGGGTGTTGATACTCATGTATTAATAAAATATGTTTCTGTGTAATTTCATGGAAGAGCATTAAGCTCAGACTTTCAGAAATTTTAATTAAATGACCATCTACTGTTCTGCTAGGTTGGCATGAGAATAAGGCAGAGAGAAGGGCTATATTTTGAAGTGTGTGCATTAATGTTTTGACCAGTATCATATGTACATCAATAAAAGTGACGTTTTTGTAGATGATGAGTGATAAAATTCTGGTTAAATTTTCAAAGATATTGACAAGAATTATCAATGGATTGAATGCAGAGTGTAAGAGACAGAAATCTAGGATGATTCAAAGACCCATATGCCCAAAAGAGGTCCAGAAATGCTGAAAATATCTGAGGACCTAAAGAAATATTAAGGAAAGAAGATGGACAATCTATAAGAATCTATGTGTACTATTTACTAAAGACCAATGAAAGCAATAGAAACCTCATGTCAGATGACATCACTGACCAAGTCCATCAACTACATGCCCCAATTTCTTGGTATGTTGCAAGATTCTCAAAATTTGAACATAAGCAAGAACCTCAAATTATTGTGGCTAATTTTCTTCCACCTACTGTGTTGGGGCTTCAAAATAGAAAATAGTTCAGATTATGAAAAGTAAATAAAACTGTGTTTTCTGTAGTCTATTTCGGTCTACAACCTGTATACTAAAATAAATTTTTACCTACTAGCTTCACCAACCACTTGGTTCATGCCTCTAAGGTAACCTCATCATTAGTTAAAATGCAATTATTGGTTAACCTATGTTCTACATTAAAACCCTAGACAATAAGAAATACGTTGTATTCTATCATTTTCATCTCTAGCACTTAGTGTGGTATTTGGAATATAGAAAATTTTGATGAAATATTTACTAGATATATGTATGAATGAATAAGTGAATTATTTTTCTAGTTGTAAGGAAGAAGCTGGGGCTGCTGCTAAGAATCACAGGTAGGTAAGGAAGCAGTACTGCTATGAATCAAGATGGATGCTAAGGAGCTATGGGGTGGAGTAAGAGTCCCACAAATAATAAAAGATGCCTTTTAGCAATTTGGTATAATATTTCATTTTTTTAAATCCCCACTAGAGTTACTGATAATGATTATGTGGTTTCTTTTAAGAGTGATGGAAATTTTCTAAATTAAATTATGATAATAGTTTGTGTACCACTCTGTGACTTTACTAAAAAGCATTAAATTATACACAATAAATGGGTGGATTTTCTAGTGTATGAATTATATCTCAATAAAACTGTTAAATAAAAAAGCTCTTCAATAAAATGGCACATGAACAAAAAGTTGTATCAGCCTATGAAGTACATAGCCACAATAAGCAACTGCAAAATGAAACAGATATAAAAAGACTATATGAGGCACAAGAAGTCTTCTGGGAACCTCTATACCCTAGAGACACAATGAGTTAACACCACCAATAGGAGCTAGCCCTTCAGCTCTGTGCCTGTCTTCAATCCAGCTAGAATAAGTCTCCTTATATGCTCGGCCCTCCCCTGGAATCTAAAGTCTCCTCAGCTTTCTGAGTCAGTCTGAGAGGGACAGACTGAACTGCTGTATGGGCTCTGTAAGTAAAACTGTTTTGTTCACTGAAAATGCTTGACTTTAAATGATCACACTTTCTTCTCCACAAGGAAGAATTTCCTCACTATGTGTATAATGAGATTAGATAGTAGGCAGAGGTGCATGGTAGAATTTGTAGAATTATTTATTCCTAGGAAATATGTAGAGAATGTTCAGTTTTGTTCTGCTATTATTAGTCAAACGCTTTAATTAGTGTGCTAATATATTTGTCATGGTAAGTGAACCTTATTTCTAAGCCAAATAACTCTTACTAAAAGTGAAAAATTAACCATTTTGAACACCTACTGCATGCCCGGTACTGTGCTACACACAATGCGTAGCTTACTTTATAGATGAGGAACCTACATGTAGGTTTCAATGAGACTATAGTTTTTGAGAGTATTAGCACTGAAATTAAAAACAACTTAACTGAAAATCCCAGCTCAGACATTTACCAGATGTGTATAGTCCTGAGTATGTTTTATATTCCCTCTGATACTCAAGTTTCTTTGTCAAAAAAGTGAATTTAAAGTGAATCTAACAAAACTTGTCTCAGGGTGCTATGGCGAAAATGAAATGATAAAATGTTTATAAACCACTTAACACAATAATGTTCACAAAAAACGTGTCTACTAAATGGTAACTTTTGTTATGAGTAATATTTTTATTAATACTGTATAAGGCCCCAACACTAGTTAGTGTTTGGGCAAGAGTCTGAGCCCAGGTCAGTAGCACATGATAGTCATATGACTGGAAATAACATGGAGATATATATTGATGATGCTGTATGTCTAATTCAGCAGTGAAAGACAGCCACAGCTACAGTTCATCACAATGCAATAGATGAACATCATTGCCGACAGGACAATTAGTTGAGAGACTATAACTTACTTTACACAAGAGAAAATTAAGATGTATTTGGGTTAGAGAGGATGAGTTGGACAGATTTAAGAGCACAAAAGGGTACCTTGGGAGAATTTTAGTGTCTCCCCCTAACAACATCCTTTAGTCTTTGACATATACAGTTAAGTTTTTCAATGTAAGAAAAGTGCAGTAAAACACAGCTTTAAGTACCCACTACCAACAAATTACTATTACTTAGCTTTCTTATATAGAGCCCCTGAGGTTCTGGTTTTTAACACTTAAGGAGCAGAATCAATTTTAAAAATTAATATTTGTATGTAGAGGATGAGAGGGAGAGGAATGTGTGTGCATGTGCATGTGTGTGGTATGGGCATGTGCACATGCATGTACTGGGTGGGAATTCAAGTTAGAGGATTTAATAGAGTTTGATGCCATTTGCTGATAAACATAAAAGGAACCAGGTTTGGAGCAAAGGAGAGAATGAGTTCTGTTTGGCTCATATTGAGGTTAAAGTGGCTGAGGGAGGGCGGATATGTCCCTTAGGGGTAGAGATAGTATTTTATTCACCTTTTATCTACTACTGGAAGCAGGGAGTTTTGATTTGTTCTCCAAAGTTCTGTCAGTTATTTTTTCTAAATTGCAGATGTGATCGTCTCATTTTTGTGTTTCGTTACTGCCTTCACATTTAAGCCCAGAAATTTTGCCACAGATTTAAAGATCCTGCCAATTTTTGAAATACAGAACTCAAGAGATGCCATAATTAGATTGCAGATTTGTGAGTCATCTGGACATAAATGCTATTTAAGGCCATGGGAATAACAAAGCTACCTCAGGGATAGCATATAGAGAGCAAAAAAAGAAGAGGGGCTTCGTGGGAGAAAAGCAGATTCCCCACAATTTATAAGGCAGAGAACAAAAACATTGTTTGACAAACAGAAAAAACCTCACCAAATAGCCAGTACTGAAGCTAATGAAGTAGAAAGTTTCGAGGAGGAGCTGATCAACATTGCCAAAAGTTGAGATGAAGGAGAGAAAAATCTTAAATTAAACGTTTGGACTTGGCATTTAGAAAGCCACTGGTGACATCAGTTGGAGGATTTTAGACGAGTCATTAGAGAAAGAATTAAGATTGTGACTGAAGGTGACAGAATAATAAACAAAAGCAGGCTGTTCTGCTAGAAATTTTTTGACCTTATAAAAGATATAGCAGGAAATTGAGGAGTAAACAGAGTTTGTATCTTATGTCCATCACTATCTAAGCACAATATTCAATTACGAGAGCAGTTCAATATATCTTGTTCGAATTAAATGTATTGAAAACATTTATATAAAACTGTGGGCAGGTTTCATTATTGAGTTGGAGTAAAACTTGAGTATTGTAGACTGGAAAAAAGGAATCAATGATATTAAACAAGATACTAAAGAAGGAAAGGAATTTTGTTTTAGTTGTATGAGAAAAGATGGAGAATGATTTGTTTATTTATTCATAAAATATTTAGAAATCCCTGGCTGCTGATGCTCTGCAACTAAAATCATTATCCTTTCCATGGAATTAAAGATGTTCGTGACTTGACTCCTGATGATGTTTGTAGCTTTATCTCCCACAGCACTTAGACTCACATTTCAGGCTTCAATCTATCCAGTCTCTTGCTATTCATCAAACTGGCTTGTGATATTCTTTCATTTATATTTCTGTTTATGTTACCTATGTCAAGAGCAACTTTCTCCTGTTTTTTCTTTTTTAGTCCTTGTAAACTCACATTCACCCATCAAAACTTTACACAGTTAGAAATTATATGCTCTGTTAAGATTTTTTGACACACACATAAACAAATTCATGGATGTGTACACTCAATCTGTCACTCTGCACTGTTTCTCTGTCTAATCTCTTAAATACATCCTATCCTTGTCCACTCTACAACTGGTGGCATATCTCTCTTTGTCTGTGACTTATTTTATATGCACTGCATCTAATTCAGGGCCTTGCATGTAGTAAGTGTTCAAAATTAGTCATTTTTTCATGTCCAATAAAAGTTGATGAATTCTCAAAGATACAATTTCAGCCTTTCTGATATGAGGTTTCAGTCCCTGATGCCCTCTTTGGTTTTCTCAAGCACAAAACCACTGATATTTTACTTGCTTCATATTTTTAGTGGCTGACACAAGACACAGTAAAGTCTCTCTGTAACTTTGCTGTTGAACTGAACTGTTTATGATGGAAACTCAAGAACTTAAGTAGAGTTACTGACTATACAAAGGAATAAAGAATCCTCCATCTCTGAGGATCCACACTGGTGTGGATGAGGGGAGGGTGCAAGAATATATGGAAAGGAGAAAATTGGAGTTCTTTTTTGCTAAGCTCAACACAGATTAGGTCAAACTATACTCTATGGTTTTGTATAGACATATATGTCTATAACATATTCTTACTCAGTAAGAAAGGGGAAAAACTGCCAAGAAGAAAACAAATAGGCAATGAAAAAACATGATTATTGAAATAATTTATGGGAAGCCAAGAAGAAGTTAGGATGAAAGAGAAATTATTCAGCTAGCAGTTTAGTTTTTTTTTAATAATCACTTATAAAATTCCCTACAATTCTCCAAATAATGATTTAGTTGCAACTCAACCATTGCCTAATAAATAACTATTATTATAGCCAGAATTAATTGATAGGGAGCCCCTCTGCACTTCCATAATGATTTTTGTTATCATCATTGTACACTAGATATTGATGTTATTGAAAAACAGTTCTGATATTTCTCCTTCACTTGATCATAACCTCTCTAAGAGGGGTTTCATTTGTGTTATTCCTAAGTTTATTACCCAGCACTATGCAAAATGTAGGCAAGTGCATTCTGGTTCAACACTTTTACATATGTCATTCTAAACCTTGGAATTGTTCACCTTGACTTGTAAGAACACGGAAATCTTTCAAGCACTACTTATTCTAGAAAGCTTTCTCCAAATACTACAAACCGACTGAATGTTCCCTTTCTGTTCATTCCTTCTGTGTGTTTTGATATTTGTAATTATTTTATTTTGTTTTTAGTTGATAATAATTTGTATATATTTATGGGATACAATATGGAGTTTCAATACTTGTATGGATTGCAAAATAATCAAATAAGGCTATTAGTATATTCATTATTTCAAATATTTATTTCTTCACAGTGAGACCATTTAAAATCCTTTCAGTTGTTCAAAGTATACATTTTTATTAACTATTAGTTCTTATTTCTTTCATGAGGTTTGACCATACATTTCTGATATTTTCTTCATGGTCCTGAGGATACCTTCACTTCTGTAAAATTCAGAGTCTAAATTTAGTTTCATTATTTGGCCAAATCATGTAACTTAACACTTCTTTTTTTCTCTCTCAAATTTTCTGTTAATTTCATTTAAATCCACCCTCTCCTCTCTGCCTTTTGTTTTTCATGAAAACTTCTTCTGGTGACCCTTTAGGAGGCATTTTATCAGAGAGAATGGTTGGGTCTGGAAACATTTTAGGGTCCCTTCCATTCTTTTATCAATACTTTGTGGCAACCACTCAGTACCTTTTCCTTTTCCCTGAAGAATAGTTACCCTAAAATTGGCTACCTCTCATTGATTGAGCCCTCTCTAGACTTAGATGCAGCCCTAATCTCTGTTTTTTTCTCAGGTTTTCATTCCAATTCATCCATACCCATCTACTGGGTCTGCAAGTTTCTACTCAATGAAAAAAGAAATTCGATGTTTGCAATAAAGTTATATTTTTCACTTCAAAGTAAAACAGTAGCATCGTATTAGGCATCTCCTAAGTATGTCTTAACAAAATGGAGAAAATCTGTTCTGAAGAACTAGTCTTCAAGCAGATTGAAGCAAGAAATATATTTGAACACGGCAGCACGTCATATCAAGTGGGGGCAGTGTCCTCTTTCCTTAAGCTGGATGGTAGTCCTGTGTTCTAACTTTTCATCTTTTCCCAGTATGACCACCAGATGCCACACTGTAAGGATCTCTTTAAAGGTTAGATGCTGAAGGCACATGCACAAGACTGCACTGGTATCTATGCCATTTATTTGTCATTTAATATATGTTACTGTGTATCATAATGATCACTTTCCCAATGTGTTCTGGCTTCCCAAATTGTCTATAAGCTTCTTTGCTTTCCACACTCATGACTAATGTAATATTGCTGCTCTGCAGGACCAGTATATTTTGTTCTGGTGTCAACTATGCAGAAAAACTAACCTGCTACCTCTTTATCCACATTTTAAAATTCCAGAGAGAATGAAATATGATTGGTCAATCGGGGGTAAAGTGTCTATTTTTAGTTCTGTCATCTAAGGTTAGCGTGGTAGGGGAAAGTTTGCATGGTACAAGCATAGCTACCAGTAAAGGGTCCTGGAGAAGAATTTGCACCGAGGCAAATTTGGGGGGAGGGGGAAGGTACCTACTACAGCACTTGAAATCTTAATGATTTTTTTATACATTTAAATAAGCTATTCATATTTTTGTATTATATAGATACTCATCTTTGATCAGTTTTCTGTCAAATAAAACTATTTTAATTGTATTAATACACAAACAACTGTAGATTTTTTGTTTCATATTCTCATCTTGTTCTGTACTTTTAATCCAGTATGTCAGCTTTCAGGAATACCACATCCCCTTCCATCATTTTCCTGCTAACTGGTGTTCCTGGGCTGGAAGCCTTCCACATCTGGATCTCCATTCCCTTCTGCTTCCTCTATGTAACTGCTGTCTCGGGAAACAGTCTGATTCTCTTCGCCGTCACTACCCAGCCCATCCTCCATGAACCCATGTACTATTTCCTTTCTATGCTGTCCACCAGTGACCTTGGTCTGTCCATGTCCACACTCGTCACCATGCTGGGCATATTCTGGTTCAATGCCAGGGAGATCAGCTTTAATGCTTGCTTATCACAGATGTTCTTTATTAAATTCTTCACTGTCATGGAATCTTCAGTGCTGTTGGCCATGGCTTTTGATCGTTTTGTGGCCATTTCTAATCCCCTTAGGTATGCCACCATTTTAACTGACTCCAGAATAGCTCAAATTGGAGTGGCAGTTGTCCTCAGGGGGACCGTCATGCTGACACCAATGGTAGCACTTCTTAAAAGACTGTCCTACTGCCACAGCCATGTGCTCCACCACTCCTACTGCTACCACCCTGATGTGATGAAGCTCTCATGCACAGACACCAGAATCAACAGTGCAGTCGGGCTGACTGCCATGATCTCTACTGTTGGCGTCGACTCAGTCCTCATTCTCTTTTCTTATGTTTTGATCATTAAGACCGTCCTCAGCATTGCTTCCCCAGAAGAGAGGAAGAAAACCTTCAGCACATGTATCTCCCACATTGTGGCTGTTGCTGTATTCTACATCCCATTGATCAGTCTGTCCTTTGTTCACAGATTTGGGAAAGGAGCCCCAGCCTATGCACATACTATGATTGCTAACACCTACCTTCTGATCCCTCCTGTAATGAACCCCATCATCTACAGTGTGAAGACCAAACAGATACGTAAAGCTGTGATCAAAATTCTCCATTCCAAAGAAATATAAAATTATAGAATTCTAGCGCTAGAAGGACCCTTCAAAATGATCTATTTCAGGTCATGCCATCAAATTAAAAACAAAAAACTGGTGCCCACTGAAGCTAGCATACAATCACTTAAAGTTGAAATATATCTAGAACATCAACTAGTTTTACAGCTTATTTTATAGATTAGGAGGTTGAGACAAGGAATGAGAGGGATGAACAACCTAAAGCATTGTGTCTAGAATTTCTCCTCCTTACTACTGTTTGTTCCAAGCTGTTTTGCCTTCTAGTCCTGCTCACAGCCTTTTTATTCTTTTCTCATTCACTTCACAGCAGTTAGAATGACACATTAGGAAAAAGTCACACCTTTGTGAGAAATAGGTAGTATTTTTAAGCATAATAATAATAATTTCAACTAACATATATTATTTTCTCTGACAAGTCATGATTCTAAGTGGAGTGTTCTTTTACATGTATTAACACATTTTATATCTAAAACAACATTATAGGATAGTTACTTATATTACCAATGAAAGAACTGAGAGACAAAATGTTGAGTAGCTTGCTTAGACAGTTAGCAAGTGGCAGAGCACATTCATCATTCATGCAGACTGACTCTAGGGCCCCTCACATCCAACTTTAATACTATATTGCTGATATATATAATTTATACTAGGGAGTATAAAAAGGTGAAAAAATAAACTAGTTTAAAAAAACCTCTGTCCTCTAGAAGTTTCGGATCAAATTAGAGAGGAAAACCCCAAATCAGATTCTTTAAACCTCACAAATATATTTCTGCTTTGGTCATCTTTCCTGAGTCATGCATGTCTTAAAATTTTTCTCTGTCCTCCACCAGCTTTCTGCCACAGCATAAATGGAAAATGACTATGAATTGCAAATGAATTATAATGTGTGTCATTTACTGAGAATTCTTTTTAATTTGTGGCATAAAATTTATGTAATTAATGGCATAATCCAGAGAGTTAATTATGTTTATCCTGGGTATATCCATTAATTCTCAAAAATGTACAGTACATATTGCAATGACATATCACTCAGTTAAGGTGGTTGCTATAGCTAGTATTGGCTCAGAATCTATAGGGAATTATAAAATAACTATGATATTTGTTATTTAATAAGAAGAATTACATCAAATCCTCAGAATATTTGACAACAATATTCTCAGTTGCAACTACCATTAGTCTTTATCTCCATGAGTCAGAATTTTCTAGGACTTTGTTTTCAGACCTTTTTTCTTTGTAATACTTCCATCCTTGGTAATATTACCTAACCCCATATCTTTAAATACCATTCATATTGCTGACAAACCCAAATTAATATTTATAGTCCAGACTTATCCCACTACCTATGTGTCAGTATGCCTGAATGACTCATAATTATCTTATATTCAACATGTCCAAAAGCATATCCTAAATATTCCCATCAAGGAAAAAACATGCTCACCCAGTCTTCCCAAATCAGTAACTCTACCTTTCAAATTGCTAAGACAAAGCACTTGGTATGATTCCTGATGCCTTTCTATCACTCCTAATATACATCTAATCTATCAGCAAATCTCAATGGCTTTTCCTTTGGGATAGATATTGATATCTAGAATCCAATCACTTTACACCACCTCCACTGCTACTTCCATGATTCAAGCCATCACCTTGGACCTGAAATATTATAATAGCTTTATGGTGGGTCTTCTTTCATCCATGTTTGCTTTACAGTCTGTTTTCCTCCACAGAGACATTACAGAGATTATTTTAATACACAAGACAAGTCATGTTCAATATGCTCCAGTGATCTCCTATCTTACCCAGCGAAAATTCACAGTCATTGTAATAGCTTACAATGATCTAAAACCTCTTTTCTCCACCAGTCCTACTTCATCTCCTATTACTCTCCCCTTGTTTCACTCTGTGATATCCATATTAGCCTCCAAATATTTTCTTAAACTCACCAACCATACTCCAACATCAGAGTTCTCACTTGCTGCTCTCCCTATTGGAATAGTCTTCCCCCAGAGACCCACTTGTCTTATCTCTCACTTCATGCCAGTCTTTGCTCAAGTGTATCTCATTACAGAGCCCTTAATGTTATAAAAAATAACAGCAATAATACCTCTCCCTCAATTCTTTCCTGTATTCACTCTCATCCTTGCCTGTCTTGTTTTTAATTTTTAGCACTTTCTCCACACACGTATTACATATATGTTTGTTTCTTTTCTGGTTTCTTCATCACAAAACAAGCTGTTTGAGAATAAGGAATTTGTTTCATTTATGCTATCTCCCAGCTCCTAAAACAGGGCCTGCCACATAGTAAAACTGGTAAAATGTCTAAATGATCTGGCTCTATTTATCTCTCAAGTTTCATTGCTTCCCCTCTGCACAGTGTCCCAGGAACAACAAACAACTTGCACTTCCTTAATCCTAAATGCCCTCTGTCACTTTCAAGCCTTGCCCAAATTGTTGCCTCCACCTACAGTGCTCTCACTGTCTCCATTCCACTGATGTAGAATAGGAAGGACTCTCCTTCAGGGTCTTCTCCTGACCTCTCCAGTCTGTCTGATACCTTTTCCAGCTGACTTCTGCTGCACTTCGTGCTTTTTGCTCACAACAACCATTTCCAGACCCTTTTGTAACTGTTCTCTTCACAACAGACTCAGAGTTCACTTTTCAAGATCAGAGACTGGGTCTTATTCACTCTTGTTTCCAAATTCCTATCCATAGTGTCTGGCCCATAGAAGCTTTTAATCTTGATTGAGCTAATAAATAAATAGTGTCTTTAATGCTTAGAGATTTGGATGACACACAAGAATATGATGAAGTTTTTTTACACCAGATGGTCTTTTTAGTATCTACAGACATATATTTTTTCATCAGACTCTACATTTTGGAGACTACTGTATCAAGTATGAAAAGTTTACTCTAATTCATATAGCCTGGTATAACCTGTTCCTAATCTTGTGCAGCCTTTCTTCTTCTTTCCAACATAAGGTATAAGTAATAATAAATGTTATTAATAAATGTAGGTAAAAACAAAAAAAGTTATGACCACTTTATAGAGGTGATTTATGTTTTGAATAAACTGCTAGTTTGTTTCCATGTATTTCTGTCTCCTTCTGGTCCCTCGTCTGTATCTCATGGATAATTCTTCCTACACACCCCTAACTCCAATGAAGCAAAAATAAAAATCCAAAGAAGTTACAAGCAGGTCCAAGATGAAAAAATGGAAAAGCTCAGATAATGGGGGTTTACATACTAGATTTTTATTTCTTTATTTGTTTCTACACACAACATAAGATGGTGTATAAAGAAAGGGAAATGATAAACAGAAAAAGGAAAGAAGAATGTGGGAGGTACTCCGAGTCCCCAAAATGCAAAGGAATAAAAGGAACTCCAGTCTCAAGGACCAGACAACTGAGCTGGTCAAACACCATTTATACCAATTTTTCTTCCCCACCGCACCACACACACACTAACCTGTGGACAGTCCTATTGTCCAACAATCCTGGAAATTTGTTAACTTCTATCAATAGGCAGTGGATAATTTGAACACTTTGAGAAAGGGTGGGTTGTAGAACAAATGTCTTGCTTTGACAAAGGTGGATGAGCTCACAATGAATTGGGAATCTTCCTACAAGCCAAAGCAGTAGTAGACACATGGCCACTGTTGTAGCTACTTGAACATGGTGATGGTGGTGAAAATGGAGATAAGAGGAAAGAGTCAAGAGATTGTAAGAAGGAAAAATAGACAAAGTTGGTTGAATAATTGTGCATGAGGAATGAGAAAAAATTATTCATTTTACATTTCTATATTGAATAACTACATTCATAAGCTCATCCTGTCATATCCTCCAAACTCACCCTCCCAACAACTTTTAGAATAGCAATCTAAAACTCAAGTTTGGTTATGATGTCCCTGCTTCAAACCATTTATTCACCTCTCAATCCCAACAGGATGAGATCCTTGAGACTATAACCTATCATTGGCTCATCTCTATTGATCTCTCCAATTTGTCTGTTTTCTTTTTGGGTTATCTCTATGCTCCAGTCAAACCACACTACTAATAATTCTCCTATAAAGAATTATGTTTCTTTCCTTTATGATTTTCTGTCTGCTGAAATACCCTCTTCATGGACCCACCTCATAACCAAATAAATACCCTCTCTCAAGTTCTCATAAAAATCTGTGGCATTCACTCCTCATCCATATTATACCAAGATTGTGTAGGTATCTGTGAGACCTTGAGGGCAAGGACTTGATCTTATTCACCTCTGTAATCCCTAAACTCAGCACAGTGCCTGAACAACACTAGCACTGGGGATATGCTAATTACACAATGAATTAATCAATTAACTCCATTGCCAGATATAGGTGACTAATGAACATTTGCGGGGGAATTGATAAGAAAATACTCTGTTTCTGTCCTCAGAGATTGCAGTGCCAATGACAAGATAGAACCTATGTGTGAGGCATATTTAGAAAGGATGGCAGATAGAACAGGTAAAGTGCTAAATAAGGTGTATGGTAGCCCTGCTGAATATGGTGCAAGCACACGTCACTGGGAAAGAAAAATCAGAGGGTCTGTAGGTACTGGGATACTTCCTGGGCAAGGTTCTGTGGAGTGGATTTTGTTGTTGTTGCTGTCTATTTTGCTTATAACATCATAAACCCTAGATAAACATTTGCTTAATTTGAATAAATAAGGAGTCAGAATACTTGGTTTTCCAACCAATATTCTCACTAATTAACTATATGATACAGGACAAAAAACTTTCATCTTATCTGTCCTTTATCTGTAACACAGGTGCAATAAAGTGTGGCTTCTTTATCTTAAGGACTGTTTGGTCAAACAAAAGAAGAGCTAGGGAAAGATATGGAGAAGTTCATGTTATTATTTTGAATTACTGGGCTGCATTCTTGTATTTTTGGAGAGGATGCAAACTCCTAGAGCCCAAGAACCATGACTAGTCACCCACGTTGCCTGTGGTATCTAGCAGAGACGCTAACGAGGAAATACATCCTGTGGCTGACTGTGGGTTACCTTGGAGAAGTGAGGAGATTGTCGAGAGACCTGTATGTTTCGCTTTTCATTTCATAGCATTAGAGCCTCTGATTTTTGCAGCCAAGCCTTGGCTTGTTTTGGAGTAATGAAGGCAGAGGCAGTGGGCCTTTTGAGAATTCTCCTCCTGGAGAGAAACAGTGGGAAGCCTGTGGGAGTGGCCCACAAATAGATATGAAGATGCTGTTCCTTTGTCTGCTAAGTTCCAGGAGCCTCAGTTCATATTCTCACAGCCTGTTCCCATCAGCCTTCTGAGTAGCATTATAAAAAGGCCTGTATCAGAAAGGGAAATCAGCTCCGTCTGCTCTCTCTACGCAGGATTACACCATTCCCAGGTGAGTGCACCCTCACTTGGAGTCAGGAAGCCTGATGCTCCTGCTATCCTAAGAGGCCTTGAAATCCCCACAAACTGCTTCATGGCTGGGAAGGGAGAAGCACTTGTGTTCTATCCACAACTTTATGGGCTGGAAAGAAATATTCCAGAGACTTAACTAGCAGTCCATAAAGGCACGTGAGAATGAGTGCAGCAGTCACATTCAGACCAAAATAGAAGCTGAAATTGGGTCTAGCAAGGAATTGCTTTAGGCAAGAGGCCTGACAACGGGGGGGACACATGACGTCTTCTGGGTTAGGCATTTGGAAGGTGAGATGATGGCCCAAAAGTCTTAGACTTCAGTAAGGAAGTGTAAGTACCAGCAAAGCAGAAAAGATGATCTTCAGAGACAGGAGTCAAGAAAGCATCCAAGTCTGCACCCAAAAGAAACCTTTGTATCTGTCAACTCTGCATGTGGTAGTATAGGCAAAAAGCCGAGAAAGTAGAAACAAATCACTGTATGTGTTTTCTTCACCCAGTGCCCCTTTTCTCTTGGACATAGTGTTCAGGTGATCTAGCTTATCTTCAAGGAACATTACTTGGTTTTGTCCCATATGTTTCAGCATGAATTTTTTTTTGGATTTCTGCATTCCCAATTCCAAGGAATCTATGATAGATATTGAGATGGATGGAACGAGATACAAGTTATCATGCATCTCACTGAAGAATGCAATTATCTGCCTCTGAAAAAGTGTTTTTCATGTCCTTCCAGGAGCTGGGAGCCAAATTTGATTTTGATATTTGTCAAGGATCTTAGCTGCTATGTCTGCACAAGTTCAAGTTCTGAGAATAGAGAAGAGAAAATAGAGGCCAGAAGTGCGGGTTTTGCAACATCTGAACCCTGGATCTGTTCTCCCTTGCTTATCCAAGATGGGAAGAATACAATTCAAATCTCTTAGTACTCATTTCATCACATTGTATTTTAAGACCACTGGTCTCTAAACTCTCCACAGGAAATCTAAATTGAAAGACATCTCAGGAGTGGAGGAGGATAAGCAGATTAGCCTGAATATAATCTGTGAAGACACCTGCATAGTTTATTTTCAAGCTTCTGCTTCTTGAAGCCAAGTCTTTGGCTCTTTAGAGACAATTAGCTTGAAAACCAGGGCACCTAAGGAGCTTAGCAGAGAGTTTGATGATGTCAGAGTCCAGGTGTTTAGGTAAGAGTAGTGAGTTGAAGCAAAGCAACATTGGGCTTCTATAAAAGAAATGCCTCTCTGAGGTGAATGATTTGTTGGCACAGGTTTTAGGAATGATAAGGCTTTAGGAGTATTGTAGTAAAATTAATAATACCCTTCTCAAAGTCAGGACTCAACCCATCTCTTTGGATTCAATGAGAATGGCTTTGGAGGCAGCTTTCAGGTGTGGAAGGTGGTACGCACCAGTCAGGAGAAGAAGGAAGAGCTTTCACAGGGACCATGCCAGGTATCTAAGATCTGCTGGAGGTTATATGTTCTGCCAGCACCATCATCTCTGAGGAAACCTTCAGAGGGAACCCCCACCTTTGATTTTATAACCACAGATGAGTTTCCTTTAATTTCAAACTAGATTGACGTTGTCATTTTTCTTAGTTTTGTTTATTTGTGTGTTTTCTTTTCAGTGTTTTCTGTTGTTTTTTATTGCTGTTGTGTTTCTTATTCCCCTTGCTGGCCTTAGAATTGAGGATCTGGAATCCTAAAAATTTAAGTACCACATGTTCTCACTTATAAGTGGATCCTAAACATTTATCATAATACAATAAGAAAGGGTGTGGCAGTAGCAGGATGCTGCCGGCATGGAAGCACATAACATCAATAAGGTACCTGATCTCAAACCAGGCAAAGTGGGGACCAAAGGGAGGCCCACTCTTTACCTGTACAATGACTACTTATCTACCTAATCCTGAATTGTACCCCATATCTTTAAAATAAAACGTGCAAAGTACCTCCTGTTCCCACTGCCTTGGAACACTCATTATTCCCTTCTCTGTCTAATTCCTACCATGTTTCAATACTGAACAGAAAAGTCCCTATGACCATGTCACACCCTGCCCCAACATTAAATGCATACTTTATGCTTGCACTTACCACGGTACTCTAATATATTGATTGCTTGTCTATTGCCCACCCTAGACAAGTTATATAGAGGTCAATTTTTGTATCAGCAGCAACTAGCAAATACCCTTGCATATAGCAGTCAAAATCAGTAAATGAAAGAAGTGAAAGAGAGCCAAAGGGAGAGAGAAAAGGAAGGAAGGATGGAAGGAACGGAAGAAAGAAGGAAGGGAGGGAGGAGAGAGGAAGATGGGGAGAAAGAAGGAGAAGGAGAGAGAGGAGAAAGAGGAGGTGGGAGGAAGACAAAAAGAAGGAAGATAATCCTATCCGGGAGGGTTTCCCAATAAGGTATCTTTTAACACCTTTCTGAGAAAAAGGTCATCTAGTATCCAGACAATGAAGGTATGAACCAGTAGGAAGAGTGTGAGGGAATTTGGAAAGGCTATATTTTGGGATAAGCATTGCTCTCCCCATGTTCCCTTTTATAAATGTAAATGGACCTTGAATGGAGTGATTGATAAATGAATTTGAGCTACCACATTTCCCTCTTTGAAAGAGGGCCTCAGAGCTTATGAAAGAGCCCGACTGGGAGTGGGAGGAGACAAGAGGGGAGAGAAAGCTAAAATGCTCAGTCCCAGGTTTTCAAGGACTCTCTGATTGTGTTCCATGTCCCTGCAGGCTGCCAGTGTGACCTCACCCTCTCCCGTCCCCCCTCCTCAATGCCAGCTATGAGTTCCTGCAACTTCACACATGCCTCCTTTGTGCTTATTGGTATCCCAGGACTAGAGGAAGCCCATTTCTGGATCGGCTTCCCCCTGCTTTCAATGTATGCTGTAGCGGTGTTTGGAAACTCCATCATGGTTTTTATCGTAAGGATGGAACGCAACCTGCATGCTCCTATGTACCTCTTTCTCTGCATGCTGGCAGCCATTGACCTGGCCTTATCCACAGCCACCATGCCCAAGATCCTCGCCTTTTTCTGGTTTGACTCCAAAGAGATTAGCTTTGAGGCCTGTATTGCCCAAATGTTCTTTATTCATGCCCTCTCAGCCATTGAATCCACCATCCTGCTGGCCATGGCCTTTGACCGTTATGTGGCCATCTGCCACCCACTGCGCCATGCTGCAGTGCTCAACAATACAGTAACAGCCCAGATTGGTATGGTGGCCGTGGTCCGTGGATCCCTGTTTTTTTTCCCACTGCCTCTGCTCATCAAGCGGCTGGCCTTCTGCCACTCCAACGTGCTCTCACACTCTTATTGTCTGCACCAGGATGTGATGAATTTGGCCCACGCAGACACGTTGCCCAATGTGGTCTACGGTCTTACAGCCATTCTGCTGGTCATGGGCGTGGATATCATGTTCATCTCCTTGTCCTATTTTCTAATAATACGAACAGTTCTGCAACTACCTTCCAAGTCAGAGCGGGCCAAAGCCTTTGGGACCTGTGTGTCACACATCAGTGTAGTACTGGCCTTTTACGTGCCACTCATTGGCCTCTCAGTGGTGCACCGCTTTGGAAACAGCCTAGATCCCATTGTACAAGTTCTCATGGGTGATATCTACCTGCTGCTGCCTCCTGTGATCAATCCCATCATCTATGGTGCCAAAACCAAACAGATCAGAACACGGGTGCTGGCGATGTTCAAGATTAACTGTGACAAGGACCTTCAGGCTGTGGCAGGTAAGAGATCCTTACCACTCCATTTCTCCTTATACTTACTGACTTGATAGACATAATTACTTCCTAACACTAGCTTAATTCCAGTTACCCATAAGTACACCAGTGCCTTCATCTTCCTGGTATAGTAAACTAAAGTACAGTACCTTAACTTCATGGAATATTGTGTGGAATAAAATATTTTAATGGAGCATTATTTGGTTTAAACGTTCTACTATAAAATTAAGCATGCAGCTGGGCGGGCTCTGTGGCTCAACCTGTAATCCCGCGCCTTTGGGAGGCTGAGGTGAGTGGATTGCCTGAGCCCGCGGGTTCGAGACCCGCCTGGGCAGCGAGACCTCATCTCTACTATAAATCAAAAAATCAGCCGGGTGTGGTAGCGCTCCTGTAATTCCAGCTACTCGGAAGGCTGCGGCGGAAGGAT